TCAGTTAAAGAATTGAGTTAGGAGAGTTTGGTGATCTCTTGAACAAATCACCAAGGTGCCAAGATAGGTTCATCAAGAGCAGGAAGGAACAAGGGAAAACAGGAGGTTTTCCCCGTGGACCGACCCGTGACGAGATCCTATTCTCGGGCCCTCAACAAACTATCACACTTTAACAATTGACTCAAAGAAAATAACTCCTAGACTAACATTAAAAAATTATAATAAACTACTTAATCAATGACTGAAATCTTAAGAACAAATAAACCAAAATTAAACACATCAAACTCTTTACACCAGACCCTCGGAAACAATATATAAAATGACCAAAATACACTTATTGTCTACGAATGCAAAAATACATAAAAATCCAGAAAAGCCCATATCTAGCACCTTGGTTCCCATATCACTACCTGATCAGAGATTTTCTTATATAATTTTTATGCAAAAATACATAAAAATCCAGAAAACTCCATATCTAGCCCCTTGGTTCCCACATCACTACCTGATCTGAAATATTTTTTGATATAATTTTTATGCAAAATACATAAAAAAATCCAGAAAACTCCATATCTAGCCAACCCCATAAATGATGACGACAATGATGATGCATTGAAAGGAAAATAGAAAATTCAAGATTTCAACTAAGGTGAAGAGGTCTTGCCCCAACACAAGAGATACTAGCATACACCGGGAATCAAACAACAAATAACAACTAAATGACTAATATTCATCATTTGCAATATATAAAGTCAACCAAAAATTAACATCAAGAGCCAAATATTCCACATTTTAAAATTCAGGATTTGAGAGCAAATTGTAGCCACAGTTCCTCTATTTTTGCTACATTGCTTTACCACAAATATCCTTTTATTGCTTTCCCTCAAATCAAATACCGAATCTCAAATAATGGGGCTCCAAAGAAACAAATATAATAGTTTTCTTAACAGTGAACAGGCTATGAACCTAATTGGTTTCCAGAAAATGTTTTACTGATTTAGGTGTCTTCAATTAAACATGATAATTTAGCCCATTCAATAAACCAGCCATCAACTCAGATTAATACACATACCAAATGGCTTTCGATGGAAACATGTAAATAGTGCACAATTAAATCCAATGTATGGGAGTGATTTTTGAATGGCCACAAACAGCAGAACAATGAACCCAACCATAACCTGAATTCTATGGTGATAGTCCATGATAGTTGCATTTCTTCTCCTTTTTTTACAAAAAGGACAAGAACTATATAACAGAAAAGAGAAAAGGTCTGTGTGCAGAGGACACTATGCAAAAATACAAGTAAAACATACACTCAAAATTCAAAAACTAAAGAAGGGTACTCGAACTTGAACTATATGAACATGGTTGAAGGAATGACCACAAGTTGCAAAACAAAAGCAAAAAAGAAAAGAGGCATATGCATCATTGATAAATTTTCTATACATCCACAAATTGAGCCCAGAAAAGAGACGATTAACACCTTGTGATCCTCACCCCACCCTATATTTGCAGAACAAATGTTGGCCCAAAAAGGCCTTGCATGTGTTCAGAATAAGCCCCTTATTATGGGTAAGTTTTATATTAAAGACTCCAAAAAATAAAGAGAATGAGAAATTATCATAAAGCACTTTTACAGTTTTACTTGATCAAAGGACATAAGCAAATAGGTTACCTTCCATGAACAGCAAGGGCAGAAACACCAGTTCTCTCAATACGCCGTGCTAGTTCTACCGTATCCTGAGATGATTTTAGAAGTCGAATCTTACATGTTATCGGTGTGTCCAAGTTCCTCTTTAATGTTGTCAGTATCTGCAGAAACAGGAAAGAACAAACCAATGAATACAGAATTGCTAAACAAAAGTAAATAACAAGTCCAATCACATTAGAGTGGCATGACTTTAATACATCATGAATAAGCTCTGGTTTAGCCAATAATGCAGCACCCATCCCTCCACTAATTGAGAATGACTTGGGGCAACCCATGTTGACATCTATTGCCGCTACATCTTTGCACCTAAAGGAAGATATACCATGTTAGTAATTCATCCAAGATAATAGAGAGTAAACCACAGCTACATCAGATTAACACATGACTTTTTTCCTGAAAAGGTGAAGTATGTATGATTTGCTGCAGAACTATATCAGAACATATAATGACTATTCTTCCGTTGCCGGGATTTGAACCCGGGTCTCCTGGGTGAAAGCCAGATATCCTAACCAGGCTGGACGACAACGGATTAAAATCTAAGTCATGATAAATTAAGCTGCAATAATCTAGCATTTTGATAACAGGTGAGGCTCATTTTGTGGTATGAACCTCCCCTGAACCCAGGTGCACTTAACCTGGATCTTGCTATATTTTGATGAAATACCCTTGAATTTGATTTTGAATAGGTAACCCACTATGCTATAGGACAACAATTTAATGCGTGGATGAGTTACTCATCATATAAACAAGGACTAAAAAGAAGTAAGCTTTCTCGCAAATCCTTCTAGAAAATTAGAAAGTTTTCATGTAAACCACAACTTCAAATGGGCGTTGAAAACCCTAAATTGTCATCCAAGCCTTATCCCAACTATATAGGATTGGGCTACATGATTGCTGCTTTGCCATTCCATTCTATTTAATGTCGCATCCATTGTTAAATTATGGGCACTTAACTCATTTTTAACTACTTCAACCCAAGTCCTTTTCGGTCTACCCTAGCCCTTCTAGCCCCTTCAATTTGCAACGGACCATTTCTTCTAATGGATGCTGTTGGTAGTCTTCTATGCATGTGACCAAACCCTCTTAGTCTACTTTCTCTCATTTTTTCACCCATGGGAGCTACCTAGGAATCTTAGAAATGGCCTTTTAACTCAGTCTTGTCATGAAAATCCTACTCCATTTGATGTACAAAGCATATGTTTTTGAATCAAGGCACCTAAAATGCGATGCATGTGCATTATACTTCTAGGAGTGAGCCTCAAGGGTTTTTTATCAGTCTGAAACTATATTTATTTAGCATAAAAAAAATGAATCACAGTGCCATAGATTGAACCAAGGGCTCTTTTTTTGTTGCACTTCTTGCCTTTTTTATCACCAATAGGATTAAAGTTTTTTTAATAGTTTCGCTCTAGTTGTGCTTCTTGCTTTTAGAATACTATGACCACTTACATGAAGAGAAAGAGAAAAGGGAAATACCTAGGAATATGCTCACTATTCACTCCAAAGGTGCAGATATAATGCATATTTTGAAAAAATTGCAAAAGGGAAATATCCAAGAAGCTATACATTGTTTGTCCAGAAGGTACATATAAAATACAAATAATCTAGTACCAAAAGGATGGCCGATACAGTTGACAAGCAAGGAGTGAATAGGGAACAGTTTTTTTGAGGTCCCTTACCTGTAAAGTGAAAATGGGGTAGGGATTATGGGCACAGCCTACTCGTAAAAGAGATGAAACGTATATACTTCATTCTTTGTTTCATTATGAATAAAACTAGTACCCAAGAGAATTTTGGTAGCAATCATCAAATTGAGTTGAGTTGTAACTAGAAAGGTCAATCAGGTTCTACCTTATGGATCATGAACACCTTTCTAGCATTCAGTCTGTGAAAGGAAGTAATCGGAGAATATTCGAAACATTGGAAAGGCCTTAGTGTCACTTTGCAAAGCTTTCTTGATGTATTTGTGTTTTGTTCTCTATGAGTTTAAGGGATTCAGAAAATCAGATACACAGGTTTTGCTCATAAATGGTTCAATATGTTAGGGTAGAGGGCAGCATACCATAAAGATTGTTTCCTTGGGCCCGCTTTTTTTATACATCTTAACATAATTATACATTAACAACCAGATCAATATGGTTCCAATTTCTAATTTTTAATAAGCAGACCAATTATCAATATATGAAGGAATTAAGAAGGTTGGTTGAGGAAATAAATGCAACATTTGCATAGAAACACAGTACAGAAAATGGTATGGCTGATATGCTGGCAAGAGAAGGACTGAAAAAAGAAAGACCATTAGAAGGTGACTTCACAAGGGAGAAGTTTGTAACAGAAAGAAGCAAAGTGATAACTAGGGGGTAGCATTGCTAACCTCCATAAGGGGTGCTTGCACATCTTTACGTACACTTCTTTCATTAATTAATAAATTAACCAGTTGCTGCTAAAAAATAAGCAGAACAATATAGTTAGGCATATTTTAGAACTTCCCCATCATTGAGTTCTGAATTAGAAGAAGAGTGATGATGAACAACAATAACTGCAGGATTCAGAAGTGTATTTGAATTTTGATCACTAACGAAACCAATTGGTCATTCAACCAAAAAAAAACATTTTGCACCACTTGCCACTTGTGTGAAGAACCCTAGAGAGAAAAGTAGTTGAAGAATTGAAATGCAGATACCAGGCATAGTTGTCAAACGGAAAAATATTTTACCATATGGTTAACAGAGACAAAATAATAGCATCTAAGAAACTTACACTATCTGAGCAGCAGTGAGAGCCCTCACAGCATCAGAAGTGCCTATTTGAAATACCACCCGATTTCTTTCCTCATTACAAGTTCTGAATACAACATTTTCTGTTCCCTTCTCCACAAAATCAATAGAACCAATTGACTCTAGTGCAAGAAAAGAAAATGATACGAGTTAACAAAAGAAAAGGAATAAGAATAAGATTACAAAAAGACCTCATTAACAACAAAAGGTTGACTACCGAAAGTTGCAGTTTCTTTAGTTTCTCTTTTTCCAGTTATGATGCTGAAAGTTTATTAGAATGAAAAGAAAGGAAGAGAAAATACAAATGTGCTACCAGAAAAACTAGAGAACAGAATAAGCAAATTGGGATTTAATTCCCTTAGGCAAGCTCCTATTACGTCACTTCATCAAAATTCTTGACAACAGATCAAGATACACAAATCAGATGCTAACACCCCACAAATGAAAAATAAGGTCATATTATCCCGAAGATACAAGACTTATATTTTTCACAATCCAAAAAGATGGCAAATTATAATGCCCTCTCTGCAGGGGTATTGTCCAGACAACCTTGGCATTAAAACTACATAATTTCCAAATACACAGTGGCTGCTTAACAGCAAAAGAAGAGATATTGATGACAATAAGAATTTCAGTGGGTAAAATTGAGTCCTAGGTCTCTGTTTCAAAAGAGTTTAAGCACCAAGACACTTTTCTGCTGCTGAACTAAAAAGGCTTGTGGGAAATTTGATACATTTCTTATCCTGGAGGGATATGCTTCCCCTGTGGCCCAGGTGCTGTATTGGCCTGAAAAGGGAAAACAACTCCAAATACACAACCCCATGCGATCACGTTAAACAATAAAACAATTGGACCAATTGTCTCTGAAGCTACAATCTAGGAAAAGTATATTATGGCATCCCAAGATAAATGGATGTCTCATTAACCTATGCTTCAAATAATGTTATGTACATTCCGTGCATGTCCCATCACCAAAGAAATCCTCTAATGATCCATACAAACCAAACCCAGGATGACTAAACTACTTATTATCTCATATATACCAAAAATATAAAACTTTTTATTGCTGTCCTTTTCTTTCTTTGATAAATGGGTAAAACATAACAGTTAACCAAACAGAAGAGTTTTTAATCTTGTTCCGGCTCATTTGGGATAGGAGGAATGCTAAACTTTGTGGCAACCAGGTGCTCCACCCGTTACAGCTAGTGAGAAAAGCAATTTAATACCTACTACCCCCATTAACACCCACCGGAAATCAAGGAACATCCGTTTCCCCCTCTTAACAAAATCCTACCACAGATTATATGCTATATGTGGATGGGTCTTTCATGCCTGAAACAGGGATAGCAGCTACAGGTTATATAATTCTCACTAAGGAGCAATCTACTGTGTATGCAGCCAGCAGAAGAATCAATGCTCATGGAAGCCTTCAAGCAAAATGGTGGGCCCTCTTGGATGGGTTGAGCAAGGTAGCTGAATTAAACATCAGATCTCTTTCTATATTTTCTGACTCTAAAAATATTGTAAATATTTTATCAAACTATGCTAGGGGACTGCTGGGTTAGAGCTCTACAAGGTCAAATTTTAGGACTGAAAAATTTTTTTAAATACTTTTGTTATTAAGCATACATCCAGATCTATGAATGTCACTGCCCATTACAATGCTTGTAAATATAATATTATAGTATCTAAAAGGGGCAGTACTCAAGTGGATTTTGTAACTCTGCATATATTTAATGATATCTCCTCTTTTGGGCGGAAAAAAAAAAACATGTCAGGAAGTACACCACAACAAAACATTGCAGATTGCAAAAATAAGTTGGGACATCCATGTTAACGGACTATATACGATGAAACATAAAGTGTTTGTTTAGCATTCAAACAATGAAGAACGCAAAACTGAATGCGAAAATGAAAGCAGCACCATAAAAGTGAGGACCTATCAATTGGTGATTGCATAAAAAAAGTGCAACGACTGAACGCAAAAATAACCATGATACCAATGGGCATGTCAATGGAAATACCATTTATCCGGCGTTCGCACTTGACAAACTTGTGATCAATAATTTCCTCCCCGTAAGTAATATCTGCACCGTATTGAGCAGCTAACAACCTAAACGGTAAAGTGCCCTATGAGATAAAAAGAATAACTAAATTAAATTAGAATTCCAGAAAAAACACAAGCAAAAAATACATAGAAAAGGCAGTAATGATATATAGATAACATAATTGATATTCCAATGCTTTTTAATCAACGAAACAAACAGCAGAATTCGTGTTTGCAGTATACCTAATTACGAAGGGAACAATAAAATCGAGTCTAAGTTGACGTCAAAAGACATAGATTTGAATTGTACAACGGGCTTGAAAACCCTAATTTATGCACCCTCACTTTATAGTTAATGTTCTCCAGTACATTTCTACTGATAAGCAGTTTCTTATCGGTTTTGGATAGAGTAAATACAGAGATAACATCTACTCACCACTCGAACCATGGGAGCGAGTACAAGCTTGTTCTCGTATTCCATCTCCTTTGCAAGCTTGAGCTCCCAATGTTTGGCGGGACGATTCAGTTTGCGGAGTGTCGTTAAAACCCGCTACACAGATAAATTAACGCAAGATCTCTGAACCGTCGATCCAGTAAACTTAACGAATCAAGTTTAAGGATTTGGCGTGACATGCACAAAGGCGAAACCGCAGTAAGTCATGCAAGTGAGTCCGGATCTGCACTTGACAGAGCGCTCCTCTCTCTAAACCTCATAGCATATTCCAACCGTACATCGAAAGCATTCTTTGTATGCAATTATTTTTAGGAGATGTTCTCAATATACGGTAGAATATGTGGCTGTGAGATCGGGGCCGCCCCATTCCCTCATCATAAAGAAAATGGGCGACAATGGGTCAAATATTTTTGACCCGAAAGGTTTACATTTAATTCTCTGAATCGACTTTACAACCAGAAGGTAAATTATTAAAATATTCTTAGATTTAATTTTAATTTTTTAAATCTTCTTGAATTTCCTCCAAATTCTTAAAACCTAAGAGCCAATATCTTATAATCTCATTTCTAAAATATTCTTAAATGTCCATAATTCTATTTATAAAATATCTTTAAAATTTTATGTATTTTTAAGTGGTTGTCTTAGATGGGAAAATTACCGGATTTTCTGCCACCGAGAATTACTATTTGGACAAGTTGGTCCAAATAAATCCTGCGTTACCAAAGTTAAACCCCAATGTTAGTTAAGTGCCACGTACAAATGCACGAGGAAGGGGGTATTCATTTTTTCGATTTGTAGACGGGAAAAGCTATTATACCGGGTTGTGATCAAGAAATCTACATTCCTTTTTTTAAATTTATGTGAGGATTAAGGAAAGTCTATTTTTCTGGGGTAAGTGATACCCATCTCCCAGGTGGGTAAATAACTTTTCCATCAAAGGAAAAATTGTCAATATTTGGATGGAACAAAAATACCCCTTTTAATAATGAAACTTTATGGCTAAAATAGTCATTGGTTTATTTATCTCGGAAGCAGAGCCTTAGGAGGAAATAGTGGATAAGGATAGAAATAGAAATTGAATAAATAGAAGGGGTATTTGGGGCTTGGGGTGAAGCGGTTAAGAAGTTTGAATAATGTTTCGGCACTCAAATCTCCTACCCGCACCTATCTACAAGACACTATAATTTACAGCCACACATCGGAAAAATCTCTCATGCTTGTATGTCATTCATGGGAAGCATGGTTTTTAAAACCAAACCGGTCAGGGGGCTAGTTACCGATTTGAACAGTCCAACAATTTGACCCGAACGGCCGGCCCATTCTGACAAAAAAATTAAAAATTTTGAAAAACGGTCAAAACCATTCGAACGGATAACCGGCCGGTTCAGTAGTTTGCTGACCAAAATCAACGATTTTGGGGGGGGAAAGCGGGTTTGGGAAAAGTGACCAATTCCCGGTTTTTTGGTCCGACTGTCCGGTCCAGTCCAGTTTTGAAAACCATGATGGGAAGATGTTCCCAATGTACAGTGATGTCCCATCGATAGGAGATCCAAATGTGGGTTATAGACATGCAAGCATAAAGGCACATGACACGGCTAAGGCTCCGTTCGCTTTTGATAAGTTATTCACCCAGGTAAATGCACTTTCCAAAGTAAATAAACCAATGACCATTTTAGCTATAAAAATCTATTATTATATGGGACAATTTTGTCACATCCAAGTGTTGGCAACTTTCCACAAGGTGGGAAATAAGTTATTTACCCACCTGGAGATGGGTATCACATAAATATGTAAAATGAACATACGATTCTTGGTTAGAAATCGGATTCAGTCAATGCAAGGCCCGTTCAAACAGTCTTTATAACCTTGCATTGGGAATATCTCCCATAAAATAAAAAATAGAAGTATGAATATATCCCCAATGCAAGGCTGTAAAAACTATTTGAACGGCGTTCGAATGGATCTTGCATCGACTGAAGCCGATCTCTCTTAATCAATGAGATATCCCCAATGCAAGGCTGTAAAGCCCCCTAATAGTGTACATAAAAACATACAAGGTCCACTCTATACAATTTTATGTACCAAATAGACATGATTCGAGAAAAATTATAACCAAACAACTAGTATCATAGGTCGCCAATAACGTGGTATTTATCAAAATTCACTCGGGGGTATTTGGGCAAAGCCCTCCCAATTTCATGTATTTCCAGCAGCATAAAGGCAAAGCCCTTCACATTCGAAGTTCTGGTCAGGGTTCAAAGTAATGACTCCCAATAGGCTTATTTAAATGGAGTTTTGAGAATTATTCTTTTTTAATAAATAAAATATATTTTGAAAAAAAAAAACTAAAAAAATGTAAAGGTGGAAATTTCAAAGTATCGATACACTCCATCCATTATATCAGGAGTGTATAATACTTGAACCTTGGTTCTACTTTTCCGATATCCATTTTATATAAGATACATAAGATACATATAGACAAGTCCAAATTACCAATATTGAAGAGGCATTGAAATACACTTGTTTTTTATATAAAATAGTAGAGATAGAAAGTTAAGTTCTTCAAAATTATTGGGTAAAATATAAAAACCTTTCTTGCAGTTTTGAAGAAAAAAACTATATTTACCTCCCTTGCATCATTGTAGTAGTCAGAAAAGCGTTGGCCAAATGTATTTGTTTCTTTTAAAAATATCCATTTTACCCTCATATTTATCTATTCACAAAAAATTATTAAAATACCCTCGAAAGAACTTTTAACTTTTAGCTAAAAATCTTTGGGGGCGTTATTTTTTTTTCAGATTTTAAGAGTGGGGAAAGTTGGTCAATGGGATTTTAGTTCTCATTGACCAAGAATCCCATGTTCTTTTTTCAAATTTATGTAAGGTATAAGGAAAGTTTATTTTCCTGGGTAAGTGATACTCATCTCCTAAGTGCATAAATAACTTTTCCACCTAGAGGGAAAGTTGCCAACACTTGAACGGGACAAAAATGCCATTTTTAATAATAGATTTTTATGGCTAAAATGGTCATTGCCTTATTTACATGAGAAGTAAAAGAACATGGGTAAATGCACTTACACACATAAGTGTTTTCCAATAAAAACTTACATAGGTAACTGCATTTACTCGGATAAATAACTTACTGAAAAGCGAACGGGCCTTATTGAAAAGAGTAAAGTAATTTTACTTTGTAAATTTGTCGATTAAAGTATAGAAGGGAAAACTTTGACATTTTGAATTATGTAGAAAAAGGTCCAAACAAGCAATAAAGGCAATTTAGTAAATTATAAGTCTTTATTACTAGAACAATGACACTATGAGGTAATTGCATGTTTTTCAAAACTATATAGGAGGCTTTTATTAAAATGAAACCTTAGGAGGAGGTTTTTGTGATTGTCAGAAACCTCAGAGAAGTTTCTATATTTTACCCTTTTTTGGTAATAACGTGAAGTTCTCAAGTAATTTTGTCCCTTTACATTGATGTTTCTTCCTATTTTTTATCAAAGTATACATAGAGGTGGAAGGCTAAAGTATTAATGGAATATTAGGAAAATTTTAATTAAATGGATTTAAAAATACATGAATAAAATTAAATCTAAGTCTCAAATAACCATAACAAAACATACACATAGAAAAAAAAAAAAAGAGAGAAACCATAGACTTAAATCATTTTTGTGAGCCACCAATATATACCAAAAAGTCATTCCATCTATGTAACATACAATAAGCTCCAAAATTAATGCACAGTGGATTGCATGAATGCTTTGAACCATGGATATTGAATAGGGAAAATATGACCGAAACCCACCTAACAAATTTTAACTTCGCCATACATTCACAACAATTCAAATCTTCCAACACCCCCACTTTGACACCCACAACAATTCAATTTTAATTTTACTTAACGACTTAAGCTTTTAGGTTGAACAGTTTTTTAGATGGTATCCAAACTTGTTTGACCAATTGGTCTAGTATTCAATCCTAACCCAAACATTTAGGGTTAGGTCTACCATTTGCTGACCCAACCCAAATTGCCAGGTTTCATATATTTTTGGAGCGCTGTTGTAGCTCAGGTCTCAACATTCTATCAAAGTATAGACACTTAGGGTGCAGGGTGGTATGTGCCAACTGGGGCTCAGTTGGTAATTAATGTCTCTAGTTGTTTGAAGTGGAGATTTGGGTGGTAATGGGCCGAATGACCAATAATGGGTATGGCCATATGGGGGATCAGCTCCCCCAGTTGTGTTACTCATTCGGTACCTTTAATTGGTTGGCTAATATTTGGAACTTTAAATGCCCCCAAAAGATAAAGACTTTTCTCTTTTTCCTTCTCAACAATACCTACCAAAAGCCATCTTAAGAAAAGAGGATATAACATCGATGGCTCTTGTAGTTTTTGTGGGGATAAGGAAGTTACAGACCTATATTTTTAAAAATTGTGCCCACACATAAGAATTGTGGCTTACCTTAAACACTCCCCTGGAGGTGGAAGTGTAAAGTGGACCGTGTCGGGCCGACACGGCATGGCCTATGGGCGTCATGCCGCCCTCCCTAGTTAAAACTTTGGGGGTTGGCTCAACACGACCCATGGCCTGGCCCCGTGCTGGGCTGGGCCGTGCCGGCCCGTGGACCTAAAATCCCAGGCCTAACACGGCTCACATGGTTGTGTTGGGCTTGGCACGGCCTGCAAACCATCGTGCGCACCAGCCCGATTTACACCTCTACCTAGAGGGACCAAATGAGAATGAAAGTTTGAAGGATTGGTGGACAAGGGTCGGCAATAAAAAGGAAAACAAGATTCTTTTAGTAAAAGAAAAACTTGCATTTGTTCTTTGGGATGTTTGGAAAAATAGGAACACAAAAACTTTCAATAATGTTTCAAATCCCATTCCAATTATTTTAGATCGGACTCTTGATATGTTTGTAGAGTTTCTTGATGGGAGCAAATATAAAAGTCATTGCACAAATGGATAACGTGTGGAAACCAATTATTTGGAGTGCTCCAAAATTTGGCACTATTAAAATAAATTTTGATACCTCTCGTAACAGTAACGAGAAATGTGTTGTGGCTAGTATTGTTCGTGACCATCTTGGTCGGGTGATAGCGGTTAAAGAATATAAGTTCGGCACCTGTACCATCAACCAAGCGGAAGTGTGGGTTACATGGGAAGCTCATATTCAAGCGACAAACTATAGGGAGCATCCTATTATCATCGAGGGTGATTCATTATTGGTTATCCCGTGCCTCAACAAAAAGGCGGATGTTCCTTGGAATTTGAAAGGTATCATCTCTTGGTGCTTGAAGATGAGAGGTCTGTTCAAGGGAGGTCTTCGATACCAGCATATTTTTAGAAAAGCTAACCAGGCAACAGATTGGCTTGTTCATGAAGCTCTTTCTTCTTCTTCCCCTTCTCTAGACTATTGTATCAACTCCCTTCCCCCTTCCCTTCTTCTTATTTGTTTTGCGGGTTTTTGGAGACGTGCTATCCCCCGTTGTGTGTAGTACATTTCTTTTTATTTCAAAAAAAAAAAAAGTACAACTCTAGATGGATAACTTGTTCAATCAGCTTGTCCAAACAAGCCATATGTCCCACGTTTTTATTGGTGTTTATGAGTTATGACAAATTCCTTCTTGCGTGTATTGATTTGTCAAAGAAATTGCTCTTTTTTTTTTTGGATTGAAGTTGGAAGTCGTTTTAGTTTTCAGTCTTGAGATTCTTTTCACACTGGTAACTATTTTTTTGGTAAATTTTCACATTGGGAAGTTGACGGTCAATAGACGACCATTCGATATGTGTCCTGTTAGGCTTGGGAGGTCAACGCCTTCTCTTATGGTTGCCTTTCATTTTTGCCCACCGTCCGCTTGACAGATTTTGATCTGTTCAAACTGATTTTTGGGACACCGTCCATAATCCACATAAAGGTTAAAGCAAACCTCTTATGGTTGTGCTGAACGGCTGATCTTCACTCTTCATCCCCTCAGTTCATGTTCTTTAGGTGGGAATCGCAGGTGATAGGTCCGATACTCCTCCCAGAAAAGGAAAAGAGGGACATTTGATGACCTCAACACCAAAAATGAACCTAATTTTACAGGGGACCTACACTAGAAATAAAAGAAATACAACAAAGAGGACTTCACCCTTATCTCAGGACTCAGATGAATGAATGGTACTTGGATAGCCTTTCGACACCCTAACTTGATAGCATGGCGTCAAGTGATCTGCCCGAGAGGCCGGAGGGATGAGAACAACAGATGGAAGAGCTCTCGAAGCAAAGCTACTGGCCTGGCCTTGATCGATTCAATCCCCGACTTTTTGAGTATGATTCCTAAATTAATTTCCTTTGTTTTTTAATTTTTTTGGCGATCCTAAAATTTTGCTAGTAAATGAATCGACTAACCAAGTGGATGGATGGCATTCAGCTCTCCTACACACAGGACGTCATAGCCATACGTCCCTGTACTTGTATGTTATCATTTATGGAGGGATGTTTCCGATGTGCAGATCCGGACTGGGAAAGATCATGGATGATGTAGATTCTCAAACTAGAATGACTAGTCACTTAGGCTATGTTTGGTTTGAAGGAAAAAGTAGAAAAAGAAAGGAAAGAAAGAAAAACCTTTATAAATTTGGGATCGAATCTGCCTGCACCATGGTTGGAGGGATTAAGCCATTATGGGTTTGGAGACAGGATCTCCCTAAAGAAAGTCGTGTACACAACCTGAGAGCAGAGCATCCAGCCGTAACATGGGTCAGTTTGAACCTTGAATCAAATAATGACGGTATGCAGTTTCACAAACGGGAAGGGAACACACTGCATTAATGCAACATGGCTGGGCCAATTAATACCCTACGGTCGTGCCACCAGCACAGAGTAAAACAGGAAGAAAGAATGGCATAGCCAAAGAGGGCCAAGTCGGCTAAGCAAGTTGAAGCCTGAAAGATCTATCAACTCCCATTCAGAGGCAAAAAGAAAGAATGACAGGGAAGCATGAAGAAGAAAATATATTTCAAAACTGAATTCATCAGTAGATAATTACAAGAAAAATGTTTCTCCGTACGTAGGCTGTCCATTGTTAGCAGCAACTTGATAAATATATCATTCATTACAGGTTCAAGCTCACATCAAAAAGTTGCTCCTTTCCTCAGGCTGGGCAGAAAATTAGATTATACATTATAAATATACAAATGCATCCTACACACGAATTGGGCAGAAGCTCCTATCAACTCCCGTTGAATTAAATGACCCCCATTGGAACCAACTCTGTCTCTTTTCCTCTGCATGAAGAATATAACAGAAATGACATTGATGACAATGTGAGGATGTTATCCTCTTATTTGAATTTGACAAACGAAAGAAGTGAGGTGAAAGACATCTGTTTTGAAATCTTATTTTTGTGTTTGTTCCACCTTAGCTCGAATTTTTTGTTCCAAAATGGATATCTCTGTTTCAAGACTGAACATCCTGTTAAGTGCATGCATATTCTCAAGTGTCTCACTCAGGGTCCGGCTATCACTGCCATCACATCTCAGGTGCTGCATTGGACCATGAAGGAGCTTGTTTACTATACCACGGCTGAGGTCATCCACAGCTTTCCTTGATTTCTTTGGGATATCATCACCCATTTTCGACAAGCACTTTTCTAACTCTGCCATTCTAATTCTTTCAGCATATGCTCTCAGTTTCTTGATGGTTGGAACAGTTTCAAGGGAGTCTCTCCAAGCTTGGAATTGTTTTGATTCCTCAGCAATAATTGCCTGGGCTTCCATTGCTTTGCGGTGTCGGTCCTCCTTATTAGCTGCTACAACTTCCTTAAGATTGTCAACATTGTAGACTCTCGCAGTCTTGAGATCTGAGACACAAGAGCCTACATTCCTGGGAACAGATATATCAATGAAGAGCCTCAATCCGCCAATTTCTGGACTGCCAATAGGGAGTGCTTCAACATGCTCCTTCAAGAACAATGGGGTTTCTGAGGCTGTGCTGGTGAAAATCACATCAGCTTCTGCAGTGCAATTGAGCATTTCTGTTAGGGGCTTGTAGATTATCTCAACATCCTTTAGCTCCTCACGGATGGCAGCAACTCTGTCCTCAGATCGATTGACAACCACTATCTTTGTGCACCCTTTTGCAACCAAGTGTTTAATCACAAGTTTTCCCATCTTGCCTGCTCCAATCACCAACATTCTGGCAGTGGAAGACGAGGATTCAGGAAGCTTCATGAGGGCAAGTTCAACAGCAGCAGAACTGACAGAAACTGCACCAGATGCAATGTTGGTCTCAGTTCTAACACGTTTTCCAACACTGATTGCATGCTTGAACAGTCCACTGATATTTCTCCCAAAGCCAACAACACCTTGTCCAACTTTGACAACTTGTTTGACCTGAGCAAGGATTTGTCCTTCTCCTAGAACTAGAGAGTCAAGCCCAGCAGACACTTCAAACAGATGCTGTGTGGCATCATCGTCATGAAGTAGAAAAAGATGTTGACGAAGATCCGAAACAGGAATTCCACTTGTCTGCCAAACAAAAAAGATATTAACAACTAGGACCACATTTTAATTTCTACAATGGAAAAAAGACACATTGATCACCAAAGAAATTTTCATATTTGGTTGCAAGATAGGATCCATGGCACACATGCAAATAAGTTAGAAACTCAGAATTCACCATCCCAACTAGAAGATCTAAGCCAAGGAATAACCAGTTGAATGAGAACAACTATCTGCATATTTTGAATGGCTGCTGTCAATAACAAAATAAGTATGCTGTCCATCACAGGAGATTTCCTAGTTGGAACTCCCACAATGGTTAGTTCCTACTGCCTGCCCTAACATTAATTCGCTCTCCTCTATAGTACCAACCTTTGTTTCTTGCATCTAAAAAAGTAAAAATAGCCTTGCAGTGGAAAACAAAATGAAGATAAGAGTACATGGAGTAAAGGAGTACCTTGGCCATCCAGTCAGTCACTTCTCTGATCCCACGATGCCGAGATAGAGCCACTACATATATTTCCATTCTGTTGCAGGTACTAAGAACAGCAGCTTCTTCTATATGGTTCAAGCCACACAGCTCTCCAATGGCTCGAGGCCATTCTGCTTCTGGAATGGCAAGTTTCTCACGCATCTCTACTGGTGCTGTGTGCACACTAAGCCCTATGACAACAATGCTACTCCTTTCCTTGGTATATCCTGGAAAACAACAGTAATTAAACTTTCAAAAGGTTAGAAGTTAGAACCTCGAGATAACTTCATATAGGTTTTACAAAAGGATCATAAAATCTCACAAAGAGTCAGGCATAACGGAGAAGGAAATGATTTATGACATAAAACACAACAGCACAGATTATTCAATATGGAAGGTGCTCACAACATTGGTATGCACGCCCTCCAACACTGGAAAACTCGGAACCCAAGACAAGAAATGATCACTATAGCACATTAAAAGTTGCTAGTAAATTAGAAACTTGAGTATCAACAAAATGATGGTAGATTCCCTTGGCGTAATAACTAGTATAACATTGTTTGAGCCTTTTCTCATGCTTACGTTTTATAAAGTCTACAACATAATAAATGCTAGTTGCTATTTGTTAAGTATCTTCTACCAAACTACTAAAACTCAGGCAACTGGTCTCTTTGGTTTCTTACACAGGCATGGTTGTGATTTGGTATGTCAACAAACTGAGCAACGGGATAAAAATATCTGACAAAAAGGAAAGAGCTAAACCCCGCACACAACCATATAAATATGTTGGAAATAATTTTTTTCTTAAATATTCAACCTGTTGCTACATCGATCCTTCGTCACCTAAATAAATGAAAGAAATTAAACACATGCAATCCCTAGTGGAATTAACGGGACGTGAAGCACTACTAAATTTGAAGAACTTATAATTGAATTTTCAAAGAAAGAGGGACAGACATTTTAAAAGTTTGGGGACGTATTATCCGTTTCACAACCGCAAAGATAACAATGAATTGAAATTCAAACAATAAACCTCATCAATTACCAAACAAAATCAACTCCTTACAAAGAAAGGGGGAGGTGACAAAGGGTTGACTTACTATCAGCCGCCGATGTCTTGAGCTGTTCGAGAATGAAAACGCTGGAAGCCCTCGAATCGACGTTCTCATCCTGAACCAAAACATCGGACGCAGCCTCACACCTAGGGTTCAAAGAGAGCCCTCTGGTAGCGATTCGTCTCCTGTTACCGGCGGGCTTGCAAAATAAACGAACCTGAGAAGAGGAAGATGTTGAAGAAGAAATCCTTGAGGAAGATAGGAGAGACTCCAACTTCACGCCCGAAAAAGAAGTGGCGAACCCGCTCGTAGCTGCCATTGCAGCAATCCCTAACCCTAGAAGGTGAACAGATGGGTAGGAGAAGAGCAGAGAGAGAGAGGAACGTGGGAGGCAGGAGCTTTGCACGTTGTTGGTTCAGCGGTACCCTTCAAAAATCAAAATGGGTTAATTGGGGTGGGTTATGACTTGGTGTCTTTACTCTTTAGTCTCTACTTTTTTTGTCAACAAAGGGAGGAGGAGATGGTGATGAGAAAAAAGGTTAGGTTGGTGACGCGTCTTGATTTCTCTGCATTCTGATTGGCGGGTTGAACACACGCTTTATCCACACTCCCGCCCCACAAACGACTGAACGAGTCCCTCCACTCCAATAAACCTGTAATTCACTATTCTGAATTCTGACTGAACTCGGAATTTAATTATTTAAAGAATCCTCCCCCCTTTTTTCATTTTGACTCAACTCCCACGTATTTTCAATGGAAGTTTTTCGTACATTCATTTTTTTTTTAAATCTGAGGAAACTGGCCCAATCAAGATAAGCCACGTCGGCCTGACGTGTAGGGCCTACTTCCGCTATGGAAGATTTTTGGGCCTAACCATGGATGGATGCATGATTTATCAGCCCACTAAGATGGGGATCAATCAACCATTAGTTAAGTTTGGTGATCAGTATTAGGTTTATCAATAGAACTGTCTACTATACGTTTATCAACAGAACTGTCTACTATAATAGGAATAATAACAATTTCATTTGAAATGGAATCGTTCTGGTCACTGATTTTTGGGTTGATGGTTTGATCATCTTATTTAAACGGATGGTCTGTTCTGATAAAAAAACTAAAAATAGAAAACAATAAAAAACTATTGAACGGGTCGATGATTTGACTGTCCGGGTCAATAGGTCGTTGCCTTATTCAATAATTTTTTGTCAGAGATCGGATTTGAGGTAAAATGAAACCGATTGTCTGAATGGTTTCTAGGCCAAATGGTCTAACTATTTGGGTCAACGACGATTCAAAAACCATGGTGTAGAATAAAGAACAACCCCATATGTAATGGAAATACCACCAACTAAAATGGATTTGCCACACAAGATGATGGGTTGTAAGCTAAAACACTCCTTCAAATGAGATGTTTTTTCTTTAATTTTTGATAAGCAAATTGGGCTTTGGCTTCTTTATTCTATAAAGCCCATGAGAAGCAGGCCAAAAGTAGCCAAGCTAAGTAGCTAACACAACCTAATTCATTAGACCATTATTTATTAATTGAGAAGGTAGTAGTAATTAGTAACCACTACTTAGGCGTGGGCCGTGGGCAAGGAAAAAACTGTAGTGAATCCAAGGTAGCAGAGCGAGATATCCTGATAGATGGCAGAGATATTGATGGAAAGAGATAAGGTGGATGTGTCCAAGGATATGTGGCGATTTGGAGTTTGTGATGGAAATTGCTCTCTTGGATTTCATGCCCTCCTTCAGCCACACATTCCAATTGTGGTTTCTTTTTGCATAGGACCGTGGACAACTCCGTGCTCACAACTACAAGATTGTATGCATATGTAATATGATTTTTCACTTGTTTAATAGTTGTTTTTTGTAGGTTAGCTCCACTTGGATCCGTGGACCATGCCATAAGGATCCATTACAAGATTTTCAACCAATAAACTGAACTCTTTTGATTTCTTTTCTCTTTTGAACCAATAAATTCCATGGCATATACATGATATATATCTTACTTGATTTTGGTGCATATGGTAAGAGTTAAATTTGATTATAAATGTCAATTTATATATTTATTCTTTACCATATGCCTTTACACTAGTCTAAATGATAGTCAATAAATCCATGGTTTTCTATTACTATCTTGATAACAACACACATATTAAGTATAAATGGGCATGGTAATTACTAATTAAAATTCATGCATTAGGCTTCATGTAGCTAACCTCGTATAATTGGGACAAAACTTAGATGATGATGATTGATGGTGTGCGATCTGAATGCTGGAGGGAAGTTCGGATGTCGGTTGAACTGTAAGAAAAAGACATTTAGAGGACCTGAGGTGGTTTACCTGGTGTGGGTGCCCCGATACTTAAGTTGGTACTCTGGTATACGAGCTAAAAGCTTGAACGCTAAAAGGCTAGTGAGCAAATAATTGCGCGTACCCTGTGACGTTGATGTTGGTGCCCTTATATAGGTGAGCTATTATATGTCTTACGAAACACCTCTGAAATCCCCGACCTGTGCTACTAGGAATCCGTTCTACACTAGGAGGTGGACTTTGTGTTAGCTGATAAGGCTTATCGAGTATGTTCGATCCGGGCGGGATAAAGATAAGGTTTGCAAACATGCAATGTGATCCCGGAGAGGTCGGAGACAACTGACTAGCTTCTAGAAGTTGGTTGCGTGTCACCTTGGCAGGTCGGGCCATCACGAGCTACTCATACCTCGATCTTGGCCGAGGTGCCCGAGGTACCCAAATTGACCTGGCTTGCTGAGGTGGCAGGGAATGCTGAGTCATCATCCAATCAGCAGGTCGCTTCCATGTATTCGGGTGTTGATAGGTCAGGCCAAATTATCCCTCATCAATGATGATGGCGCATTATACTTAGCGTTTTATAATCATTTTAAGCTTATATCGTATTTACAGAACAAGATATACCTATGTGTAGACATACAAATAATAGCGGACTTAAAAAAATTGTGTAAAAAGCTAGCATTCTCAAACATAGATAGATCAAATTATTAGTTTTATGGTCATCAGTTTGTTATTTTTGCAATTTGAAATTCATTAACCTTTAGTCTGACTTTTGAGTTCAAGTTATACATGCCCCAAACATACTTTATGTTTGACTTTTGAGTTAAAAATTAACTTAAAGGCTGAACCGTTTTTGTCTCCGGGTCATGGGTCACCGATTCAACTAGTCGAGTTGAATGGTTCAAACCATGCTGCATCAGCACATATATATATATATATATATATATATATATATATATAATATGTTATATCTTATATGTATTATTTTATATTTAGTATATGCTTTTTAATTTTTTATTTATAGAAATATTAAAAATTGCAATTTTAGGCCAAAAAAGGGTTTTTTTTTCATGAAAATAGTGGGACAAGGCGCCTACGATACCTTTGGATGCATATATCTCAAAAAGTTACCCAAAAATATAAAAAAAAATCACCATATTCGGATATCGGGGTACAAAGTTATGGCCTCTGAAAGTTTGCATGTATTCAATGTGTAATCCGTGATTTAGTTATCGGGTTGAATGATTCTTGACTAAGTCAACGATTTTTTGACCGACCGACAGGTCTTAACTGAATCAGACCTAAAATTTTGGTCAAGTGATGATTTGAATGATTTGATTGGAATAAAAATGGTTTATTCCCCCAAGTCCCGACTAAAACTGGAATTAGAATTTTCTTTCTCAATATAAGAATCAGAATTGGCTGAAATGAATTTTCTTTCTCAATATAAGAAAAAATGGAAAATACCATTCCATCATAAATGAGAATCAGATTCCTGTTTTACCCAACCAAATAATTGAATTCCAATATCCTCCCACCTTTCACTTTTACATCACCATCCACTTTTTGCGTTAATTAAAAGTTATGGAACTGTGAGAGGGAGTCCTGGATGGGTAATTAATGTAGCATGAAGGACAAAACAAGTTCTGTCAGGACCCTGACGATTGAAAAACCTCGTAGGACCCATCAATGGAAAATCTCTGAAACTAAAATTTAGGTTTAATTTTGGATAAATCTCTTAAACTATACCTATACTCACTTTTATCCTTTAGTCTTACAGTATTAAACATTAACAGAAAAAATGAAATATTGAATTTATCCTTTACTATTTATCAAAATTTTAAAATAAAATCCAACTAACTATATAAACCAGTTCATTGCTCTTCGTGGGAGAGGATGCCGAAGTTTCCATCGTCACTGTAATTGCCACCGGTGACGGTGCTGCCTTTTCGGGTTTTGAACTACGGTATTCTCTCGAACCTGGGAGAAAGGTGAATAAATTAGATGGATGGAGAGCCTTCTTGAATCGAAGTTAGAAAAAGAAAAGCAATCTCTCAAAAGTCTAAAACACGAGCGGGGAGAGGCCTACTTTTTTCGCGTCTTGAACCAAAGGCATCTGCTTTGTCGTGGGTGGGAGTCTAAATCAATCTCCATTATCCTACTGTTTGCAAAGATTGCTAGGTCCCGACTCCAAAATTCTTCTTCTGCAAGCCAGAGTGGCGAGTTGGGTCATCCATGGTTTGTCTCCCTGGAAATGGAAGCTAGAGAACACCGGTGAAAGCAGAGAAGGCGTAATGGGAAAAGATTTTCTCAAATTCTTTATTTCTCCCTTCCTCTTTCTCGTCGGATTCAGATATCACTGATAATTTGAGGCAAGCTTGCCGCTTGGAGTCATGTGGGAGCGACTACGGACGGTTTGGAATCATGTAGGAGCTGGATTTGTTGGTGAAAAAGAGGAAGCACCGTAGCTCATCGGCACTGTTACACCGTTATTCACATTTCTCTTAGGTTTCAAGACGTGTTCTGAGCGACTACGGACGGTTTGTAGGAGCTGGATTTGTTAGTAATGGATGCCTTCCTCTTTCTCGCCGCTTGTAACAGTGCCAATGACGGTGCTCTCTGGGGAGTGGGGACAAACCACAAGTGTGGTTGTTACAACCGGGGCGAGGAATAGAGAAGCAGATCCAATGCGGCAGCGAAACTGAAGTTTGGAAGTCTGCGACCAGACCCCTGAGGTGCGCCCAGATTTGTCTTCGCCTGTGCCTCTGCTTAAGAAGAGCAGAGCCCAGAGCAGCAGATGTGTTTGCCTCTTAGTTAGAACTTCGTCATCAGGAGGTGGTTGTGGTGTTCCACCGTCACTGGAATTGCTACCGGTGAGTCGGTGACGGTGTTCCAACAGTGGCGGTGAGCAATAAGGGTATTTTAGGAATTTTAAAATAATTAACACTCATGTGATGTCACATGTGAACGGAGTGTGACAGAAAATTAACGGTAAGGGAGGTGTTAAACAATTGTCAGAAAACCTAAGAGTACTGCAAGACAATATCTAAACAGTAAGAGTACAATTGATCAATTTCGTGAATAGTAAGGGTAGTTTAAGAGACTTACCCTTTAATTTTTGGTTGTTGAAAGCAAGGGTTTTAAAACTTAATCGGACAATGAACTGGTTAGGGGTCCAGTTTTTAGG